TCCGAATATCCCTACATCCTTAACAATCTCACCCTTCCAATACCTATAATCTCGCAATCCCCAAAAGAAGACTTAGACCCAGGGTCCGCCATAGTTAACTATACCTCTATTCACTCTACACTCTACAAAACTCATCATACGAGTACTTTTTGCGCTCACTGTAGATCGCCTCCGTTGATGATACTGGGAAAATCGCGTCCCCCGTTTGTTTGCGTGTTTAATTCGCACCGCGTAAGCACAACGCATCCGCGTGAAGAGAATCATGATTGTAATTGAACCGCAAACCAAGCGGCTTACAACAGAGATATTATGAGTAAGACTGTTTTTTCTTTTTTCAAGCTTTGTCCACTATTTTATATTTCGCACCGATTCTCCCGGTCGAACAATTCAATTAATTTCACGATAAATTTAACTTATATAACGCGGCGCCGTGATAAAATCGTGCGGAGAAGTTTCTCGGTGCAACGCGCGGCCACTGGGTTCATTAGACTTAATGAAGCATCTTAATTAATCTGGGACACCTTATGCAAGCGCGAACGCAGTTGCATCGTCTCTTCTTGCTCGTTTCGCTTATGGCAGCATGGTTGTTTCATGAAGATTTTATAGGAAAAGTTGGGGTTAGAACGGTTATGGCGATTTGTAGACTCATTCACATATGTTCTGTCTTCACAAGATGGAGGTACACATAAACATAAAACTTGAACTAACCTTAAACACAACTATACATATGATATATGATATCTCTGTATATGACATAACTTTAAATACCAACCTTAAATATCTTTGTAATAAAAGTTCGGGTTAGAACAAATATGGCGGACAATTTATAGGCTCATTCACATATGTTCGGTCTTCACAAGATGGTGGTACATATGAACATAAAACTTGAACTAACTTTAAACATAACTATACATATGATATATGATATCTATATATATGACATAACTTTAAATAACAAAGTATAAAACCTATAAATAATCAGATAAAATTAAGCATTATTCTAATGGTTTATATACATACTTTCTATTAAAGGTTATTTTATAAGGTGTACATAAAACATGGCTGCCATTCTAAAAATAATATACTAAACTGAAAGTATGTTTCACTGTAAATGGCATAAGTAGTATAATACTGGTAGCACACCGCTGGTATAATCGTTTAAAAAAAGACCTTGAATGTAGTTTAAAATGAACCGTAGAAAGTAGAACGCGCTAAAAATAAATTTTCGTTGATAGAATTCGCGGAACTAGTTCTGGTGAACTTTAAGGAATGTTTGCATGTATTACGTTGTCTGAAAGTGACATAACTTTCGTACAAAATGGTTGTACCTCAGTCACCTACATTCGTGCTTACTTTCAATTACCAATAAAATCACCCAGTCTTCTGATTACTCAATTCTTCATTTCTCACATTCCCCAATTCCACACTTCCCCAATTCCATCATTCCCCAATTCC